TTTAATATAATATAATATAATATAATATAATATAATATAATATAATATAATATAATATAATATAATATAATATAATATAATATAATATAATATAAAATAAAATATAATATAATATAATATAATATAATATAATATAATATAATCACTGCTACTGCTTGTCTGAATATTACAAATTTATACTTCACCTATGAATACCAAATTAAATTTATATTTCAGTTAAATTTCCCTCCAACAAACTATGACGTTTTTGTAAAGAGTAGAATACGTATTTTGCAAGATTTTGTATTGTATGTGTATTTTCAGATTGCAGTAGCAAAATAAATTTCCATTCAAGCGCTGGGCAATAGTAAAACTTGTGTATAAAACGAGTTCTAATTTCCTCAAATTTGGGGCATTGTAATAGAAAGTGGAACTCGTTTTCAATGAGATTACAACCAAGAGAACACAATCTTTGGTCAAGTGGTATTCCCAATGCCCTACCCTTTTCAATCATGAGCTCATGAGCAATATAATATAATATAATGTAATATAATATAATATAATATAATATAATATAATATAATATAATATAATATAATATAATATAATATAATATAATATAATATAATGTAATGTAATGTAATGTAATGTAATGTAATGTAATGTAATGTAATGTAATGTAATGTAATGTAATGTAATGTAATGTAATGTAATGTAATATAATATAATGTAATATAATATGAATTTATTGCATCCTTAGAAATAATTTCCCTTGGTAATAAAATACAATACATATAATACTAAAGTAAAATGTCAGTTATTGTTATTTCTGATTTCAAATATTATGTATAAGTTTTCACCAACTTGTCTTATTATTATGTCTTATTTTGAACTTATAATAATTTTAATTTTTCTGGAATATTGATATTATTAAATAACTTTTGTTTTTTTGTTTGGTATCTGAGACATTCCATAAAGAAATGTTCTTCATTTTCAATTTTGAACTGGAAACATTGCTTACAGATTCTGTCTTCTAAAGGTGTTTTAGGGCGGGTATGTCTACCTTTTCTACCTTCAGTCTATACATGACTGCTGATTCTGAAAGGAGTCATTGTGATTTTATGTTTCAGATTACATAAGAGCAAATATGGTTCAAAGGTGTATGAGTCTTTATATACATTCTCAGTTTTCTATTATCATTTGTTACACTCAACTTCCAGAACTCTACATACCTTTGTAGGATATTATTATGTATGTTTTTTTATTTTACTGTGTGGTAATTTTTGAACTGTGACTGACAAGGACAAATTTGAACATGAGTTTCTAATGACAGCACAGCCAATTTTGGGTGTGATGTTCTAATAGGTATTGTCAAAACCAGGTTTAATCATATATTTACTGAACCTTCAAACACAATCATTTCTTAATAGTATGGGTAGCTCTACTTAATTCTGTGCACACACCTACAGGGCAAAGAATTCATGAAAGCTATGAAAGCCAGTGCCACGGGATTTGGTGCTGTGTACATCATGAAATATTTCTTTAATAACTGTAACTTGAGGCATTTTTGAGATTGAGTGACTTGAGAAGTTTTATCCTGGCATGTGTTAGAAGCCAAAGATCAGTGGTTAGAGTTTACCTTTTGAATGACAGTACATTTGATATCTGACATTTGACATGCAGCTTTTTAGGAGGTAGCTTTCCATGTTAATCTTGACTTTCAGCTGTTTTAATGTCTTGCGTTTGATTAGCTGAATTCATGTACAGTATTAAATCAAGTTGAATGTCACTGTCAACTCTCCAATGAATCACTCACTGATATCATTACATTCTTTAATTTCATAAAATCAGCATAGAAACCTATATGTCAGTAATAATTACAAAGCCAACCTATTGCCAAAATAATATAAAAATGTCAAGACAAAGCCAACCTAATGCAAAGACAATATAAAAATGTCAAGACAATGCCAACCTAATGCCAAGAAAATATAAAAATGTCAAGACAATGCCAACCTAATGTAATGACAATATAAAAATGTCAAGACATTGCTACCGGTAATCTAATGCAAAGACAATATAAAAATGTCAAGACAAAGCCAACCTAATGCAAAGACAATATAAAAATGTCAAGACAAAGCCAACCTAATGCCAAGAAAATATATAAATGTCAAGACAATGCCAACCTAATGTAATGACAATATAAAAATGTCAAGACAATGCTACCGGTAATCTAATACAAAGACAATATATAAATGTCAAGACAAAGCCAACCTAATACAAAGACAATATAAAAATGTCAAGACAATGCCAACCTAATGTAATGACAATATAAAAATGTCAAGACGATGCTACCGGTAATCTAATACAAAGACAATATAAAAATGTCAAGACAAAGCCAACCTAATGCAAAGACAATATAAAAATGTCAAGACAATGCCAACCTAATGTAATGACAATATAAAAATGTCAAGATGATGCTACCGGTAATCTAATACAAAGACAATATAAAAATGTCAAGACAAAGCCAACCTAATGCAAAGACAATATAAAAATGTCAAGACAATGCCAACCTAATGTAATGACAATATAAAAATGTCAAGACGATGCTACCGGTAATCTAATACAAAGACAATATAAAAATGTCAAAACAAAGCCAACCTATTGCCAAAAAAATATAAAAATGTCAAGACAAAGCCAACCTAATGCAAAGACAATATAAAAATGTCAAGACAATGCCAACCTAATGTAATGACAATATAAAAATGTCAAGACAATGCTACCTGTAATCTAATACAAAGACAATATAAAAATGTCAAGACAAAGCCAACTTATTGCCAAGACAATATAAAAATGTCAAGACAATGCTACCTGTAATCTAATACAAAGACAATATAAAAATGTCAAGACAAAGCCAATCTAATGCAAAGACAATATAAAAATGTCAAGACAATGCTACCTGTAATCTAATACAAAGACAATATAAAAATGTCAAGACAAAGCCAACTAATGCAAAGACAATATAAAAATGTCAAGACAATGCCAACCTAATGTAATGACAACATAAAAATGTCAAGAAGATGCTACCGGTAATCTAATACAAAGACAATATAAAAATGTCAAGACAAAGCCAACCTATTGCCAAAAAAATATAAAAATGTCAAAACAAAGCCAACCTAATGCAAAGACAATATAAAAATGTCAAGACAATGCCAACCTAATGTAATGACAATATAAAAATGTCAAGACAATGCTACCTGTAATCTAATACAAAGACAATATAAAAATGTCAAGACAAAGCCAATCTAATGCAAAGACAATATAAAAATGTCAACTTAAGGATAATATAAAGAAGAAAACCCTCAAATAAAGCAAATAAAAATAATTTAGCACTGATCTCAACCTATAATGTATGCACAGTTTAGTTACTGCTGGTAGTATAACAAAGCCTCAGTGAGAAAAGTTTTTGTTGTCTTAAAAAGGCTTTCATTTCAAATTACTCTTCAGAATGAACAAGTCGATTGCCCTAATATTTATAAAACATTGGCATAATAACTGGCTATATTGGGAATAGAGAAAATGATGGCCAGTAACTACATATGACACACTGGTATGCTTGATGAGTGACTGTGTTCTGATGTGTTTGTTTGTCAGTACAAGAATGCATGTCCCTTGTAAAGTTGTGTAGCATATTTATCATATAAAAAAAAGGAAGAAATATTAAATTTATGTTAATTATTATTGCAGAAAAACACAGTGAAGGATGAGATGCAGATCGTTATTCACATACTATCTCAGATATCTTCTATACAAGCCAGAATGTCACCCGTACTCATCATACAGAGATTTATACGAGGATATCTGGCCAGAAAACGCTATCATCTTATACAAGATACACGAATCTGGTAAGTGATTCAAATATAATACTTTGTTACTTTTGAATAGAAACGCCATCTGTAAAAATTTATGTGTGGCGATATTTGAATGTGGACCTTGATGATTTTATTTCTGTTAATATAATTATGTGTTGCATATTGACTAAAAAGACCTATATGACCATGGACGCAATGGATCACTGGGTGGGAGGAAGGATTCTGTTTCTATATCTACCGAATTACATGCCCCGAAAACAAATTTTCAGCTTTCACACTGGTATCTCAAGTACTAATTATTCCATTGCGATGAATGACAGACCTGATTAGTTTTGGATTAAAATCTGTTATAATTAGTCAATTTTCAGCTTTTCCATAAATATTTCAAGTGCAAATAATTTTGAGTTTATTTTTAATGTGTCTCCAATACTCTCAGCATATGCAAGTTCTTTCTAAACTTTCTTTGATCATTGTTTATTATAGGCTTCTGTACACAAATTCATAGAAACTAAGTACATCATATAACATGAATAGCATTCTGTTCGAAATTGGTTGACCATTTTGCTTGTCTTTGCAGTATGTATGTATGTTTGTATGAAGCACTGGTCAGATTTTAATGGAACTTGATACATAGAAGCTCTGGGACAATGTGCAGACCTTATTAGCTAATTTTGAGTGAAAATCTGTGCATACCGAATTTGCATGATAATTATATGATACATGTATGTGAAGTGCTTATCATCATATTTCTGTGGAACTTGGTACATAGATGCTCTAGAGCAATGTACACACAGGCCTAATTAGTTTAGGGGTTAAAATTTGTGCATATTACCGGTAATTACCTAATTTGCATAATAATTAGTCACTTTTTGGCTTATATTCCCCTGATATATCAAGTACTAATCATCACATTTAAAAGACGATGCACAAACCTGATTAGTTTTGGGTTAAAATCCATTCATATCAATTACCTAATTTGCATATTAATAATTTGTCTATATTTGGCTTTTCTATCGATATCTCAAGTACTAATCATCACATTTCAATGAAACTTGCTACATGGATGCTCTAGAACAATGTACAGACCTAATCATGTTCATATTTAATTACTTATATTTCATAAATTTCCATCTCATTTCAATGAAATCTGGTACATAGATGTTCTGTGACATTGTGCTGACCTGATTAGTTTTATATTAAAATAAAAATGTATTATTCATCTAATTTGCATATTAATTAGTCAGCCTTTCCATAGATATCTCTTGGTACTTGTTTTTGTTCATTTATTGTGATATAACCTTATATTATAAACAATGGCTTGATAATAGTAATTTGTGATAACTTGCTAACAGGGCAGCTGTATCTATCCAGCGATATTACCGCAACTACAAAGGTCTTCCAAAACCAGAGCCACCACCTCCACCAACTTCACCAACTCCGGGTGCATCAGTTGATGAATCATCCACAATGAGGATCGACTTTGATACATACATGCAAAACAGAAGGCCTGGATCACAAACACCGAGTCTAGCTTCCGGACCAGGAGAAAGGGTTCCAACGACCAGTCGGCCAAGTCAAAGACAGTCACCCATTAAAGAAGAAGCTTTGATACAGGTAATTTATTTCAACTAGCAAAAATGTACACAAGTATGGAATGTATGTACAAATACAGTACTATGAGAGTACTGACCAACATATACCACAGGTTGTTGCAAACAAGTACTCTCTGAATGCCTGTATTCCTTGTGGTATCCTCATAATAACCTTATTAAACATTTTTTGGATCCAACTGCTCATTGAATGAAGGCCAGAACTGAGCTAAATGGTATGAGTGTCATTTTCATAAAACTAAAATTTTTCTTCATCTTGTAGTCAAACAATTTGTATCTGATCATCTTAAAACTAAAAATCACAATAACCTATGAAATACCAACCAATGAAATTCAATTTTGTTGTGCATGTATAATGTTCAAGACATGAATATTTGACTGAAATAAGATATTCACACTACTTATCATGAGAACCAAATGTCAGTATTTTGCTCTACAAGATCTGTTTCTTTAATGTACATGCAGTATAATTTGTTTCCGCCTGTACACCCCTTCAAAATTTTGTTTCAATAGATATATAGTTGTACTGTTCAGTAACTTTCATGCAATTCATATTATATTACTATATAAGAGATTTTGAAATTAGTATTAAAAGTAGAAAATATTTATAATCAAGTATTAGTACATACCCCATAATTTGTTTAATTTATAGTGTCACAGATAACAACCAGCATGGTTTGTATCCATCTACATGCATGTTCAATGGGAAAGGTTGTGATAGTTATGCTATGTTTTATTTATTAATAAAAACTATGATTTTGTTACTGATAGCAATATTATGGTTTCAAAAATACAATAAAAATGTCAAACTTGAAATAAATTGCTGATTTAATTATACCTAAAAGGTGACATGTGCACATCACTTTGTAATCTGATCAAAGATAACCTTGAGAAAATAAAAACACCTGTCCAGGTGTGTAATGAAAAATGCATTAACTTAACACACAGATAAATAATATTCACATGTTCACGTAATTTTAGTTGAAATTTGATGAAATATATATATTTGGAGTTTTAAATACAAATTTGTGTGTATTGTATCATGTGTATGTCTACCCCAGGAATGCATGTCATGATTTGATTGAAACATGTTGTTCTGTTTCTCAATCTGATTAATATACTGCTTTTTGTAAGGTAATACAACCCATCTCATTAACACAATGCCTGCTGGAGCTTTATTTATACAATAGATAAGAGCAATCCGTGACTATCCATGAATGCTTTCAGCATTTGATGTGTTAGATGGTACAAGATCTCTAAATCACTCATATATATTAAATTGCTTCTATCCAGATCCAGTAACTATGCAATCTCAGTAAATATCTCACCAAAAGTAAATTCCTGAAAATGGCTTTAAAGTTCATACATTTTCCTGCAAACATTCTACAAATTTGAATTGTATTTTTTATAATTCCTTTGCTAATTTTAGACAAAATGTACTTTTCTATTGGCCACAACAGTGTTAATCACTTTATGTATTACAGTTTGACTGTGGTTGGCCACTAAAGGATTTGTTTATTTCATGATGATGTCTTCAATTCTCTAATTCTGATGAATATTTTTGGCATTTTTGGAAAAAAGTGATATTTTCAACTTCTAGTTGAAAACTGCAAGTTTGATTGCTTTGATACTATATGCATAGGTATCTCAGGTGGATCGATCTGTTCATTTCTTGATGATATCTTCAATCGTCTCATTGATGTGCATTGCTAATAGCGGAGCTATCTCAGCTGAGAGACTGCTTGTTTTTTTATATATACTGGTTTTATCAATGCATATTTTGTTTATTTTCTAGATTAAGGCAGAGTCACCAACAAAAGCATCATCACCTCCAATATCAAAGATAAAAACCAATCTACATATCAATCTCACAAAGCTCCATACAGATACCATGCAGTATTTGCAAGATACACATGATCTAATCGCTATAGAAACCAGTACGCTAACATGTCAGTCGCTTAGATCACTCTTAGATGAGCCGAATGATCTGAACCGAAGTCCACGTGGTGTTGATAGGAGAGACAGAAAGAAAAAAAAGGAGTTCAAGACGGTAAAACAGATGCTCGGCCCATTGCCTGAGTTGGAACAAAAATGTGATTATGAGTATGATTATGATGATGAAAATAGCAATGAGTTTCGTACTGCAGGCTTTAGATTGAAAGGCATGAAACCACTTGTGCATGACACAGATCCTTTGCAAGATATGTTAATCTCTAGACGAGAAGCAGCAAGAGACATCAGAGCAGCTGACCAAGAGTTTCTCTTCAAGCGAGATGCTATGCCGAAACCTCCAATAAAAAAAAAGAAAATTCCAAACGCTGACCAGAGGTTGTTTGCTCGTGCACAGGGCACAATGGGGATGTCTAGTTTGCGAACTGTTCAACAAGCATATAAAGATCGTGAACATGCTGAGAAAATTGCCTCAAAGGTGGATTTTGTCATGAATATGCGAATGAACCGAGACCAAGCAAAAGGTCGAATCAAAGGATATCTTGATGAGAAACGGGCACTTGTACAGCAGCAGCATGAAAGGGAAATTAATAGAATGGCTGAGTTGATGGAGAAGCAGGAAAAGAAAGAAAAAGAAGATTTCGAGAAGCGTCGTGAGATGAGAAGTAAAACATCTGAAATCAAGTATGGTAGACGTACTGATAGACTCTTTATATCTGATTTCAATAGCCAACACACCTCTGTATCTAATGCTTTGTTGAGACATGACAGGCAGGCAAAACATGAAGATGTCATACAGGAAAAACAAGATACAGTCCATGGAGCGAAAAATTCCTCAAAACAACAACAGGATTTAGTTTATAACTACTTAGAACATCGTAAGCTGATGCGACAAGCACATGCTGCAATGGAAAGAGCAACGCTTGATACACGACTTTTACAGGAGACAAATGATCGCCTGATGGAAGCCCGGAACCGTGTTACCCAACAGAAACAGAAACAACAAACAGTTCAAGCATTCTACCCCTTGCCCAAGTCTGGATCTTCAACAACTATCATGCAGCGTTCTAAATCCTCTCCAGGCACTAAGACTGACCGATGGAATGCCCTAGTTTTGGCTCAAGATGGTAGAGTTGGAAATCACCATACTTTGGCTTTATAAAATATCACAACTGCGGTGTACATATTAGTTACAACATTTGTAAAAAAAAAACTTGTGTTTTATGTGTTGCACACATGACATATTTAATATATTTTTCACTCAAGTTGTGTTACTGTGTTACTGTACATATAGTTGATTAGTATGCGTGCATATTAATGAGTTATTTTGCATACTTGCCAGAATCACATGGGAGATTGTAAAATCCAAATATGTGAGGGAGAGTTTAAATCTTATATGGGAATTAAGATACTATTTACATACATTTAATATGTATTTATGCTGATTTTTTTTCCAGTGAAAGTTGGCAGATAACTTTGATCTAA